CATCTGGGCAAACACTTCTGCGGCGAGAGCCAAGCTGAACTGTGCCTGTGCTGGCACGGCGCGCTGGGAACGCTGCCCGGGGTGGAGGATTTGTGCAGCCATGCCGGGTGGGGAGCGCTGAGGATGAAGCGCCCATCCTCTGCCGCTGGCTCTGCCGGAGTGCTGGCAGCTGCTGCTGCTAGGGGAAGACAGCAGAAAGCGGTTACAGCCTAAACCGCTGCAAGGCTTTGCTCAGCAACAGCGCTTGGTGCGCTCGTCACGTCTAACTTTTGGAATAATCAGCCCTCCAAAGCCGTGCACTGGCTCTATTCATCTGGTTTCCCCATTTCTGTGCATCACAACTCCCATGTCAGGAGATAGGTGTGTGCCTGAAGCCAGGGTTCTCCTAAACGTTCACCTGATTTAACATTGTACCGAAAACGCTGCAGCACTATACAATGAAGGGAAGTACCTAAATTTTACGAAGGAGGAACTGGAAGCATTTTGCATTAATTAAAAAACCATCATCACATACGATATATGACAAAACAGTTCAACTACTACGTACCCTGAATCACAGATGAAGTTTTAATTCTCTGCCTGTGTATCATTTGGAACTGTCTTACTCTGAGACTGATCCGAGAGTATATGAGTAACAACAAAAAAAATACATATATTTAAAAAATAGTAGTATTAGTTCCAGTAAATTACATTTTGTCTAAGTTTCCCTTATTTTACAAAAGACAATACAGTATGTTTCATTTCTTGTAAATTGTTTGGTGGGCACTGTACAACACTTTTGCAAAGTTCTTTAAGATAAGGTAGGATAAAAACCACTGCATAAAAGTACTTAAAGGTAGAATTACTCTTTACTGTAAGCACGTTGCAAAAGGTTTAAATATGAGTGGAGAAAGAGATGAATAAAGATCTTATTTCTTCACAAAGCATCTAAAAGCTGTGTGTAAACAAGTATTTTTAAGTGCTTTAGCTCTACCATCACATGGCAGCATCAGCCCTGAACAAAAAAACTGAACCACAAGTTACTTGCCTTTCTTCGGTCTGAAACTGGTGCAAAAAACCCCCATAAATAGAGTGAAAGAAAAAAAAAAAAAAAAGGCAGCAGGCTGGAAAGGATGAATCACTTCTACCTGCAGCAGTAACTTAAGTGTGTAATTTGTAATATAAACATACCCTTCATTATACATTAGGATAATGCTGTTGTGCACATCACTTTCAGAGGTGGCATGCTGTCTGATCTACTGGGACAGCAGCCAGCACAGCTACTCAGAGACAATGGAGATCTCTGTTTCAGCTTGAACACTGAAACATGAACAGTCTTTGGATCTGGAGAACCTACAGTACGGATTTCCATGTGCTGACAATCTCTAAGGTCAGCAAAGTCCATGTCAAAAGAAACTGTTAAAAAGGTTTCACAAAAGTGACGCGTACAGTATCACCTTATGGAACTTTTAATCTGTTTTCTCTAACCTATGAAAAAGATTTGATGTAAACTCTTATGGAGAAGATCAAGTTTGGGTTCAAACTTAAACAGGGGAGATTTAGGTTGGATATAAGGAAGATACTCTTTATTGTGAGTGGTGAGACACTGGCACAGGCTCCCCAGAGAAGCTGTGGCTGCCCCATCCCCGGGAGTGTTCAAGGCCAGGTTGGACACAGGGGCTTGGAGCAACCTGGTCTAGTGGAAGATGTCCCTGTCCATGGCAGGGGAGGATGGAATTAGATGACCTTAAGGTCCTTTCCAACCCAAACCATTCTATGAATCTATGAGTCCTTGATCTGCTGCTGCCCAATAACTGCAAAGAAGTTGGTTGGTTTTGTTTGGGGTTTTTTTTTTGGAGGGGGGGGGTGTGAAGATTTGTTGTGGGTTTTGTGTTTTATTTTGGTAAAAAACATTTGATCTTTTACACATTTACAGTTGTCTCTTTTATGAGCATTTTAAGAAGACTCAAGAGTATCACCTGTCTTTGTAAGACCACTCAAATTGACTGAGCTGCTGAAGTAACCACTGAAATTACGCTGTTTTTCAAGAACAAGGAAAATACACAAATAGAAAAAGGGAGCCAATGTGCCCTGTGATCATTCAGATGTGGAAATCCACCCATCACTTATTGTCTCTAAGCCCCTTATTGTCTATAAGGAGGATAATCCTGTGTGAAGCTTTGTTGCCATGTTTTGAAAGTCCTTGATTAGTCTCTATGTGTAACACTGAGATCTGATTCTTTCAAGATTGACATAACGAAACAGCAAGTTTGCTTGGGTTTGGCCCACATTCACCAGTCTAAGAGTGAGTTAAAAGATAACAAGCTTGGGGAGATGCTACTACTAAAATAGACAGGCTTCACATCCATATACAGGGTCACCCGAGATGTCTACTGCCTTTCAGACATCAGAGAGATCTGATCATAGAGAAAGGGGTACATGCTGACAGCGTGAACCACATGGGAAAAGATGGCATATAAATGCAGAATTCATTATTCAAACCTGATTCAAGTAACTCCTGGTGCCTCCTGTGGCTTTCTTACTGAGGTTACAGAGCAATAGCTTAGTTCAGATCTTCTTACGCCAAACACAATCACAACTCAGCAGAACCATATGGTTCAAATAATTTGGTAAGTACAATTAATAGAGTTTGAGCTAGACTTGACCAAGACAAGTTTGAAGATCCCTGTTTGGTCAAATCCCAGTAATAAGAAAATCTGAAGCTTGAATTAAGCTAGCTCATTAGATGAGTCCACAATATTAGCAAATACGGATTGCCACCTCAGATGCCTGCAGAAATCTCTGCAGTACTGAAAGAAAAGAGCAAAGTTCACCTACCAGAAGCACAGCAGTACACAGATGAGCTTTAGCCTAGAATTCTAATCATCATTATCTACCTTTTATCCAAGGCAAATGCACTGTATGTCAGCTCTGTAACAGAACAGCTTATGAGAATGGGCAATAGTAAGCTCTTAAAATAACAGTGAGCATAAACCACATGGAAGATAGCTGCAATGATGTACTCCCTACCCCTCTTTCACCCTGCAAAAAACCCTACCTCCAGAACTAGTCATATAAGGGACTACTGCGTTAGAGCTGAATATTTAAGGATGCTGCGTATTCTGCACTCCTAAACCTCACATATATAAAGGGATACTCTCTGTATTTACACAGCAACTTTTAATCCTTTTGAGAAGATGACTATTTTCTCCTAAAAACATATGGGGAGATTAATTTCTCATGCTAGGTTCAAGTTAGGCTGCATGAATCATAGAATCATTCAGGTTGGAAAATATCTTTAAGATCATTGAGTCTAAACATTAACCTAATGCCACCAAGTGCACCACTAAACTACGTCTCTATGAACACCAATGTGGTATTTGAATTTGGGTGAAAACAAAGGTCTTACCTGCACCTTGTAATGACCTGAGAGCCACTAGTAATTTTTCCATTTCTCCAGGGATAGGCAGCTTACCTTAAAAAATTTTCTAGATTTAATTCGGTAATCACCCATTTAACAGCAGGCTGACAAAGCTCGTAATAAGCTTACTCATGTTCTTCCGAAGTGCAGCTTAGGTTTGTTGAATGATCAGATCTATTATTTAGTATTCTGAATAAGCTTGAGATGCTATCAGCCTCCTAGTAGCACACAGCATGTTGCTGTAAGCATGGACACCACCATAAATGCATTTAGATTGTTAAAAGACAGATACAGTGAGAAGCAAAGCTTGATACTGCAGGTATTTACTTAATAAAAATGCTTTGATCCTACTGCTACTAAAACAATTTGAGAGAGAATGCAAGGCTGACTTAGAATTAGGAAGCTGTAAGTTTTCCCTTTTAATTAGGTGATGCCAAGAATGCAGTAACTAGGTAAGAGTGTAACAATCAATGTGCCACAGCTGCGGATCACCTAAAAATGTGGACCACCTAAAGCAGTTGTTATTTTAGTTCAACTGGGACACTGGTCAGACCCAAGTGGAAAGTTTTTACCATGGTGATCAAAATTTACCATGTAACTGAAAACTGATGCAAAGTGAACTCTCCTAGCACTGTTTGTGGATTTGTGTTTAGCTCCTTCTAGCAAAAGTGGCCAGAACACCTTATGTGCCAGCCAGCCTGAGAAAAAAATTGTGCAGAAACAGCTCTGGGTAAGTTTGAAATGCAAGTGAAGGAACAAGGCCAGCAGTAGAGCCTTTCAAATTTAATGTGTATCCTTTGATTTTTCAAGGATATGCCACATTAATTTTAACAGACAAGCAATATGCCCATATATATTAATAAATAAAATGTTTGACTTGAAGTCATTATTTGAAGGGTTCTATGAGATATGTCATAATCAGGAGAAATCTGTGGTGACTGAATGACAAGATGCTGTCTTCCAGATATCCTAGTAAGAAAGATAATAAATGCAGGCAACAGGTTGACAGTTAAAGTTGTTATCTTTAATGAAATGACTTCGGAAATAGCATCAATTTCCATGACACCAACATTTTGGGAGTCCCATAAAATGCAGAGTTACATTCCAATGCCAATATTACAGGCAGATCTCCTTTCACATGGCAAATAGGATCAAGAAAGCAACCATCAGACAGAAGAGACCCATAGCTTCAGACAGGGCGAATCCCAGGATAGCATATGAGAACAGCTGCTGCTTCAGAGAAGGATTTCTAAAAGAAAGCGAAGGTGTAAGTCCTTTTTATCTGTACAATTCAGATTTTTTTCATACAGTTTAATGCATGTGACAGATTCAGAACCTCATACTTCCTTGACACATATTCCATAACAGGAAAATCCCATGAATCCAAGCAGAAGTAATTCTTAGCAAGAATCTTACTGAAGACAAATGAGTTGGCAATTAATACTAGATTCAGGTTATGCAGACTTTATATGGCTGTTCCAAATAAGCACAGTTTTTGCTGACTACATGTATATATACTTTTGAATTGACTTCTCCACATCCTCCCACGCATGAACTGTCAGCACTATGCTTTAGAAATTTACTTCACATCTGTGACATTAGAACTATATTCCAAGGAAGTTTGTGTGTAGCATTTTAAGTAACTCTCAAATACAGGAACTGAAACCACCTAGAGCAAAAAAAAATAACTACACAGCAGTTTATTGCAAAAATGCAATGAATTATCCCTCCAAGTGTCTGGGAGAGAAAAAAAAACTTCTGAAGTAATGTTCTACAACCTCTTATTGACATGTTCATGCCAAATTAAGGAGACATTAGTTTTGTACTGAAAATACTTATGTTTCTTTAAGTGGAAGGTGAACTTCCTTGTCTTCAGCAGGGCTTAAAAATCTTATTAATAAGACATTTAGTCTTAACTGGTTGAAAGAGCAATGAAGAACATGAAACAGCCTGCAAAGCTTTTTTATATCTGCATCAAGTGTGTTCTTCCATGATACCACATGAACTATTTCTACTACAGGAACATTGTAAACTTATCTGGAAGTTCATCCCTACTATAAAATCCTCAGCCCCTTCAGATTTCATTCAATAAAGTAATTACACAGTCTGAGATGCAAAGCCGAATGTGTTGGAAAAATGAATTAAGCACCCATTTCTAAGCAACAATCCTGACTACAAAGTCTAAAGCATACAAACTCACATTGCTTATTACCAGTTTTCATGCAGTCTCTCTTTAGGACTTCTCCCCTCACATGGGAAAAAAAAAATCCAGGCTAGATTTTTAGTTCAGTTTTGGAATTGAATGCTGAAACACTGGACTTTGGTGATCAGAACACTGACAAAGTCTAACAATCTCACTTCTTTCATGTCTCTTCTCTAGGTAGGAGTGTACAAAGTTCTGAATTAACAGAGCCATCCCAATGAATGAATACAGTTTCCTATTATTCTATTTAGCCATGTTTATCACTAACAGTAATTATTAACAGAATTCATTTTAATGCCATCATCCTTATTACCACTTGGCTTATCTGGGGGTACTGTCTCAAGATATATCTGCATGTAATTCGAGAGCTTTGTAAGACAGAGATTGATTACCTGGCATAACCAATGATTAGACTACCGAAGACTGTTCCAATACCAGCACCAGAACCGGCCACACCTACTGTGGCAGCACCAGCACCAATAAATTTGGCAGCAGTGTCAATGTCTCTGCTGATAGCACTAGTCTGGAATTCTCTAAGTGCTAGTCGGGAGACAGTATTTTGGGCCCCATTAAGTGTTGAGTTGCCCTAAGAAAACAAAACATGAAAAAGATTATATTCAGACACAGACCGTCCATCTATGACCACTTTAATAGAGTTATTTTGCAGTTTCAAAAGTTGTATTAGATCCAACGTCTAGCTCCTCTTCCAAGTGATGAGACTATAACTAAGAGTTAAAAAAAACTTCAGTGTTACCTGTTCCACAGGGAAGCAATCAACTTTAAATGTGAAAGACTTATCAGAGGAAACAGCAGGACAGCAACAGGTACTATGAGGTGTTTGACTTAAAGCAAGTTTCATACTATAGGTATTTGAGTTAGTACAAGTGAACTCTAGGTTGAGGACATTTAGGCTCACCAGGTAATTTAGGAAGATACAGAATTTTGTTTATAAGGTACCTCTCCATTCTTGACCTCTGGCCTAGACAACACAGATGCCGAAATTGGTCTGTACAAGATTCTTGATCCAGCACGGATCTGCAAAAGGAGGAAAAAAGCTCTAAGAAACCCCACATTTGATCACAGCTGTTTCCATTCAATAGTCTGTAAGATTCTAAGGCTATTAGCTACTAAGCCATTTGTCTTACTTGAAAGACAGCAATCTTTGTATACCTGGATATACAATAAAAGTTACAGAAGCAAACACAACCATGCAATGTGATAGCACCATTTTCAGGAGACATTATTGTGAACAGCTACATCATTCAATGAACCTGTACATGCTTTATACTGAAAGAAAATGTAGCAGAACAGTGACAAAAAAGCTAGGCAGACCAGCAGGCAGCAATACACATTTTGAAATGAAAAAACAAAAGTCATCAAAATGAATTCCAAAGTTGTTAAATGCACAGACATAACCCAGACTTATAAATCTAGTCAGGCATAAATGAATGAATCCTCTTTCACAAGCGGCCTGCATATGTCCTTGGGCTTCCAGCAGCCTAAGGTCATATCGGCTCTTGCACAAAGCTCTTCCTGCAGGGCAAACCTGTGCCTGCACCTTGCAAACCGAGACGTTCTGCAGGCTAGAGAGGACGTTTTCAAGCAGGACAGCCCCTTGTCTCTGCAAGGGCAAACAATCCCGGCCTCGCACTGGACAAGCAACAGGCTAGAGTTTGACCTACAGCAAGGTGCAGAGCACACCAGGCCCAAGAGCCATTCGCTACTGCCCTCCCCTTTCACCGCCCGTGCGGGCAGGCCCCTCACCTTGTCAAAGGGCTTTAGCCCACACGAAGGAAGCGGGAAGACGAACCCAGCCCCACCGCAGCCCCCTTCACCCCCCACCCT